ATCAACATGAATGGCCTTTGTTAATCTTTAACAGACCAAACAATGATGGTTGTAATATTGGACGTAAGTCAGACCCTGCCTGTGCGTTGGCAATCATTGAGGCCCCAAAAAAGTTCAATATTTTATGTATTTTAAGTGATCAGCATAATTTAAAATACATCCATAAAATAAAGGATTATTTGTGCAAAATTCATCAGTAAAGTTTATTAAATGTTACACTGACGATCTTGATAACCTGCCTTCTGTTATCTGTTACTGGTATATCAAACATCAACAATAGTGGTCACCGTATGGTAAGAAAGGGTGTGGCTTATGTTTCGGTGTGACTTATATTTGGAACAGATCGAAAAAATCGCTAAAAACCAGCCCTGCTGCTTATACTTAAGTGCAGTTTATAGCCCAGAGATTACGATACCTTATCTATGAATTTCCAAGAAAATGATTCAAAAGCTTTTTCGATATAAATGGTGCTGAATAGTCTGATCTATACCCCGGCTCTTTATTAGCAGTGTTTATACAAGGCAACAAATTTTCTCGGTTTAAAAACAAAAATCTTATCATGCTTGTTTTCTAGGATTATCATCTTTTTTCTATAGATATCCATCAAATCAAACCTTTCAGTTATTTCTGTTACTGTGACTCTAGCTTTTTTGATTGTTGACTTGTTTGTAGTTTTCATTATAATCCAGTTTTGAATCCATTACCAAATTTACAGTATTTGAGCATTAAAGGGATATTCTGCCCAAGTTTCAAAGATGTCTGGTTGCTCCATTTATTTTTAATGTTTCTCTTATGACTATTCAAATTATTGGAATTACTGATGTATACTTCTTGCGGTCATGTTGGACAGGCAGAAATTGGTGGAACTGATCACCCCCCCCCCTCCCCCCAGACTGGTATATTTTATAATTATATTGTGATCATTTTGAAAGCGAGGTTGCAAAAACAAAACCACATTTTTCATTGGCTGTTCTCTTCCATAAACTGCAGCAATCTCCCTTACTGTTTCCCAGTCGTGATGCGTGGATTTTTTCTTGTCCATTTCAACTTTCTCTTTTTCTCTCACGTAGAAACGTTTTTTCTTTGCCCTAAATGTGTCTCGGTTGAAGTCGCTATTTTTGTTTGTTTACAGTTATTACGCAGGCACAAGCTTGTTGTGATGTCATTAGGGCAGCATGAAAATTTGTAATCAGATCTAGCTAGACCTAAATGGTATTTCCACAAATAAATGGCAAAAGTTTATTTTTTGGGAGGACACTTTTCTCAAAAAGCATCTTTTGAAATCCTAACTTGGGTGGAATATCCCATTAAAGAGTTAATGTAATTTCTATGAAATAAAATCTGCTTTTATCTTCAATTTGTTTTCAGGTTTTGGCACTGTAAATTCATGCATCACTGTTGTGGAGTACTAGATGTAGTTTATCAGTATCACATAGTGTGATATGATTTGCATCATATTTTCCAGCTAATTCTTATATGTCTGTCCAAAAGACAGGATTTATTGTGGTATGGTGTTGTCAGTCTGTTTTAAACTTTTATTTGTACAGAGATTTCCTCCCACATATTTCCATCAGTCATTTCAAAAACTTGATAGGCTTAATCACCATGACATGAAGTTATGTTTTCTTGAATGGCAGTTTGATTTGATTGTATTGAAGGAGTTACTGCCCTTTGCTGTTTTCATAATGTTAATGTTGTCCGGAGATCTTGTCTCTCAGTTTGTAACTGACTGCTTTCATACTTGGAAGGCCTAATCACTATGACATGAAATTCTGTCTTCATGAATGGCACTTTGATTCCATTGTATTTGGAAGATTTACTGCCTCTTGCTGTTTTCATCGTGTTAATCTTGTCTGAAAATCACCTCATCCAGTTTGCAACCATTTTTTTTCAAACTTTATAGGTTTAATCATCATGAGATGAAATTTTTTGTTTCTTGTACGGAGATTTCTTTTAATTTTCCACCCATCTCTTGTTAAAACTATTTTCGCTCTCGATACTTTGACTCATTTTTACCATTTATTATTTTTCTTTGGCATGGGATGTGTGTGTATTGTTCTGCTTCAAGGTATTCTTGTTAGTGCGATGTCATGGAGTGCTGAGCCAGCCCTAGGGTTCATGACCCTACTGTAATGTTTGCCTTCCCTTAATTAAGCTTGCATTCTTGACTGCTTTGGTCATATCAGTGCATGACAAGCCACTGAACTAAACCTTCTAAAACATAAAGTTTTCACATCAGCATTCTTTACATCCTGCTTAAGCCTATGTGGACTCATTTTTCTGAAAATCTTATTTCTTTTTCATTGAAATGAAAATGAAAGTTTGAAATGTCTGGTTTCAGGATATTTATATTATAGTAATTAAATAATATTTCAGAACTTGTTTTCATCAAGCTAGCTAGTAGCAGTTTTGTATGTGTGTAAGCATGTATGTTGATTGTAAAGTGTTGCAAAGTGGCACTGCATTGTACTGCAGGTGAAATCTGAAGGTGCATGTATGTGGTAGGATTTAAAAAATGGTCAATGTTCATAGAAGGATTGATGGTCAGTTTTGTTGCACCTTTTGCAAATGTTTCATGAACTGCTTTGCAGTTCACTTTGTTTGCATGAGGTTCACTTCTCTTCATCAGTTCATGCAAGCAACAAAATAGACAATCTACCCTTAAATATTGACAGTGGAATGATAATAAAGTGACTTTATCATCAAGTTTCACCCAATCAGAATGTCATGCAGGCGGATGACAAGTCAGCAATTCAGTCCCATTCATAAGAATGCCTTTTTTTGTCTCAGAAAATAACTCTTAAAGTCAGTTATTTATTGATCAATTATAGAAATATTTGTCATGCTACATGATGCCAAACTTAATATTTTAGAGGGATAATGTTTAAAATCTAATTAAAACCTCTGTTGAGTCTCAGGAAGGCCAGGGCTTATACAGACCAATCAGTTTTGAGGGTACATGATGTTGTTAATACAAAACAACAAATGAATAACAGCTGATTATATCTATAAACATTTATTCTCTTACACAAAGCTTTAGCAACTCTAACAGATGTATCAGGTACATAATCTCATACCTTACTCACAAACACAACAGCATATAATATTTCACACAATATTTATGTATATATCTGTATGCTGTATGGTCTAACTACCAAATCTGGGAATGCAGTCTGTAGCTTTCATTCAAAGGTCCCACAGCTTGATATCATAAAGAAAGAAAGAATCTCTCCTCAACATCAAATAATGATTATATGATGTCAAAATGCTTCTGTCGACAACATAGTTGATCTGCCTTATGGTATCAGAATTTCATGGAGCTGATCTGCCTTATGGTATCAGAATTTCATGGCAAGTGTCGACAACACCATGATGATGAGTATGTACAGCTTCTATAAACTATGAAGTGCATACAATGGTCATAAATGATGACCACTTTGTACAACGCTACACTGAGTTTGTAGCATACAGGTTTCCATAACCTCCATAAACTCTTGAATACACATATGAAGATCTCTCTGAGCAGTATGGGCTTCCATAGTTCTCAGTCAAACAATAGGTATTCATTGGAATCATGGGGTTGGTAAAAGCTACAACAGATTAATAAGGTCCTATGACTAATTATAATAATGTTACCAATATATTCATCAAAATATAGCATTCTAAACTGTGAACTTTTACATTACCTAATAGATATATACATATATTATATTCAATATTTGTGTGGACTTTCATATTATATATTATATACTTTATCTATGTGCATGCACATGAACATCAGAACTAAACCTTGGAACCTAAATGTAGGACATTGTCACTGACAATATCCCTAGACATTCAAATAGTTGTAAACAACTTGTACCCCATAGAATACTACTACTTGGTCACCTTCATCATGTATTACTTACCTATAAGTAACACACTACCAAACACCTGACCAAGATCATATGTAGGCGTTAATATACCACAATACATTGTTTATGACACTCTGAATGAAGCACATTTGCACGCAAATTAACCTAACGTGAAGTACACTGAAAAATCCATTAGTACTTTCTGTGATCAGTGTTTCACACTGGTACTATTATGGCATGCACTGCCACACCTGTATTTCTGTATTGCATACCTGTTTTCAAATCCTGGCATGCACTGCCACTCCTGCATTTCTGTATTTCATTCTTGTTTTCAAATATGTCTCTGTATGTGCATTGGTTCTCTACCATACTATAAACTTGACTGCAGAGAGAGAGTGAATATGACAAAATAGAATTCTCATTTTCATAAAATTGGCAAATAGAATATCGAAGGACAATATGTGGAAACCAAAGGTAAATAATTTCAAATAATTAGGCCAAAAGTTTATAAGTAAAGATGAAGCCTATTACACATACACCAGCTCAACAAATGCACCCTGAAATGATGACTTCCTGTCTATTTTGGGCTGACCATGGCTTTTTGAGATTAGGTCTCCGTTCATTGCTTTGCTTCCTCCAAATATATATAAAGTAGTTCTAATAACTATCTTTCTTTCATTGGAGGAAGTAATGTTTTTCCACTCATTTGATGTCCATTATTCCCTATACCATGCAAGTCTTTCATCTGATTTACCTGTTGCACAACAAGTTTCTTTCTAGAAATGCATCAAGCACCCTGTTTACATAATTTTTTCTTAAGAGTCCATTTTGAAGCAATTTTGTGTGTAGTTTTTCGTTGAGAATCCATTCTGTTTGATTTGGTCAAACATTCCAATTTTCGATAATCATGACAGTTTACTGCAAGCGCCCACCACTTCTTGGGCTGTTTTCTATTGATCTAGAAGTTGAAAATTTATTTGTTATGTCTGTAACTGTTAATTTGGATATTTTCAATATCATGCCGATCTTTCGATGAGAATAACAGCTCTAAAACATTCGTATTCCTGACATCCATGGTAATGGTGAATAAATGCATATAACAGCATGGAAATTAGTTTAACAAGAAAAACCTCTAAACTGTTACAGGTCATTACTTTTGGGAGGTACTGTTGGAACAGCGACAATCTTTCATCTTAAAGGTTTGCAGGTAGGGTTAGATTAATGATGTGTTTTTAATTTGGTCTAAAATCATTTATTTGAATTTCACTTGAACTGAAATGAAAATCATGAGACATAAATCATTTAAATGTTCGAATTTTTTGCATATTTCATTTGTTATATCATGCATAAAAGTTGCTTCATTGTTTAAGCTTTTTAATGGAAAACGAGTGATATTGTGTTACTTGTCTGTGTTTCAACATGGAACATTTATTTGCTTTAAAGAAAGCTACACCAACACACTCTGGTGAGCAAAAATGTTTTTAGGGAACATGTCTCTATATCTAGGTTTATGCAGCATCCAAAACAGATATCAAAAGGTCGGCCTGGATGACGGATCCAATCACAGATGTCATTACGTTAGAGGAGGTGAGTGATCCACGCAAGCTTCAGAGCCAAGATATTTGGGTTATTGTGTAGAAATATATATTCTCAGCTAAATCTAGGGTCAAAGATCAACATGAAATTTGAAGGGTAGAATTTTAAAATCAACTTCAAAATACTTGGGTATTTGGCCACCTCAGTTGGAATGCTATTTAAAGAGGTTTGGTTATATTTTCTGAAATCAGCATTGCTAAAGATGCCACAGGAACAGAAAGCAGAAATGATATTATAGTGTATGAGCTATTATACCCCAACTCGTGGAATAATACAACAGTATAAACTTCGCCAATGACACATAAAAATTAATTACTAGAGTTGCATTTTTTGACTGGTAAAACAAGAGTGAAAAGTCAACCTTTTCGCCCACCCTTCATCCTACGGTTGGCTATTCAAATCGCTCTACATCTAGGATGTGTCATCCATTTGTAAGCAATTTTTATTATTGGTTTATCTTGAGAAGTCCTGGATGGATTTTTCTCAATGGTCATATGTATGTTACCGTTTGTTCTTAGTTTTGCTGTGATAATTTTGGGACTTATCAGAAAATTCAATTGGCAGAGAGGTGGCTATCTTTGATTTTGATATTGAAAGTTTGTTATCACTGTATCTCAAAGAATACAGGAGGATTAGTATGTAAGTTCTCCTTCTTCCTTTGTTGTGCCCATTCAATTTTGGGACTGATCAGAAAATGAAAATGGCTTGCAGGTAGCCATCGTGGATTTTTATCGTGAAAGGTTGTTATCACTGTTTTGTGAGAAGTACTAGAAGGATCTTTCTCAATTTTTGTATGTAGGTTCCCTTTGGTCTGTGGTTGTGCTCTGGAGATTTTGGGATTGATTAGAAAAACAAAATGGCTGATGGATGGCTGTCATGTGTTCTAGCCTTGAAAGTTTATTATCTCAGATTCATAACAAGTACTAGATGGATCTTTTTTAAAATTTTATATATAGGTTCCCCTTGGTCCTTGTGCCCTTTTGTTGTGGGACTGATCAGAAAAGCAAACTGGCTGATAGGCAATTATCTTGAATTTGATAAAGATTGTTATCCCTATTTTTGGAGGTATTTCAAAGAAGTGTTTTGAAATTCCATATAATTAAGAGCAAGAACAGAGGTAAGAATAGAAAAGAAGGGGAAAGATTAAGCTTTAAAGAATGAATAACTAACCAATGGCTAGTACTAAGATTTTTCTGGGACTTTGAGTTACAAAATGAAAGTAGAATACTCCTAATTGTTTCATTAGTCATTGATTTTGATATTCTCATCAGTCTACCCTTACTATTAAAGACAAAAGATGTACACAACAATGCATGTAAATGTAATTCGAAAGCCAGTAGTTATACTGTGTATCTTTGCTTTGCAACTATCGATTCCATTTATAATAAAGCGTTAAAATTCTCTATAGTAATTGATAATGAAATATTGATACTTAAAAATGAATGGTGTTGACGTCGATAAAAGACAAGGAAATGTCAGAAGAGATCTTTTGCAGGTTACAAAGTGTATTAAGGCTTCATAGATAGGTCACAAGCTCTAACTTATTTGACAAATTTTGAGGCAAGTTATTTCAGTATACTGATACCAATAATAAACATTTAAGAGTGTTCATGACCATGCATATGAATATTGATGATGGATATGGTAAATTGAATGAATGACGGAAGAAACAACAGCTTGAGATGGTGACTCTGTTGATACTGAATTAGTCTGCATACCAATAAACTTGACATCCCTGATATACCATCGTAAAACACAAACTATCAGTGTCAGGTATCTGTGTTTATACATTAGTGTTACTTTCACTTTGATGTTTATACTTGTGGTAATTGTAGGACTAATAGTTGTGATGGTTGGTAAGGTCATATTCTATCAAATTCAATACTGCTGAGTATGTTATAACTAATGGCTTTAAATGCTTCTCATATCTTAATAGCATCTCCATTTTGTGTCATTGTACAGAATCCCACCTCAATGAGAACCAAGATGGAGATGATGATAATGAGAATACAGGTAGGTTTTAATAAGGATAATAAGGATACAGGTAAGTAATATAAGTATAGTAAGTAACATATAGGTATCACAGCTTTCATATGTGTAAACATTGATACATTAGGTTTTAAAGTACAGTTTTCTGATTCATCTTGTTCATTTATGGATCATAAATTTACTAGAAGTGTACCGTATTTGTTCTAGAATGTACATCCCAAGTAACTGTGTCCCTAAATCTAAAATGGGAGATGGGTTCATGTTATTACATGATAATAAAATGTTATTAATTTCTAATGATATACAGTCAAACTTAAATGTTTTGAAGTTAACTGGACTGCAAAAGAAACTTTGATACATTGAGACTTTGAATCATTCGTGGTGGGTTATATCAACACTTTCATGTTCATGGCTATATATAGTTGATGACACAATATTCATACTTGAATGAACACAACAAATACCCAAACGCAAGCTTAAATGAAAAGATGTATTTTGATCTTAAGAAATTTTCATTCATGAAAAAATAGGAACAAAACTTTAAATAGAAATCAACGAGAAATAGACAACACATGCTGACATTTACATTCTCGCCTTCATGTCACACAGTATATGTATTTTACGGTTTAGTTTTAGATGAAATGACGCAGAGCATTAAAGTGGTTGTCACAAGTAACAGTAATTATTTTAAGACTGGTACTAAAACATTATAGGTACTAATGAATTTTACCCTTATAGTACTGTTCAGGTAAATGTTTAGTTTGAATCATGATGTGTCAATGACTGTGTTATAGCTAACGGTCCATGAAAAAACTTTGATTCGTCGATAAGTCCAATTTGTAAAACTTTGATTCATAAAGGGGTAAGTTAGTTGTAATATATAAGAATAAAATTCGGGACCGTAAAAAACTTGTACATGTAGAGAAATTTGAATTATCAAAGTTTGATTAATAGAAGTTTGACTGTAGTTAAACATGTTATCAAGCTTATTGGTAGTGATGATAATATGGATTAATGTATTACAGAGTTTATTCAAGAAAAGTATATTATCCCTGTTCCATTTCACAAAATGGCTGAAATTTGTTAAAATACTCCACTTCTGAAGACCAAAGTGTATGACCATTAAGGAATGCTGTAAATTTTGCCAATAAAAATGACGTTTACCTTATTTTAATTCACAGAGGTCAGAGTTATGAAAACATTCTATGCAGCTTATTATGAAAACTTTAATACTTATCAGACTTGCATCTTCAATAGTAAAGAAACCTAGACAAACATACTTGATGTCAAATTCTGCTAATTACCATGTAAATCTAAATTCCTTGAACAGTTTCCCTTTATGTCGGCTTAAATTAGAAAAGTATAATTGATTTACTGTTGTTAGATAGTAACATCATAGTTAAGTCATTGATAATATCATAATATGAAAGTTTACTGCATGTGTGATTTGTCATATGAAACAATGTTGTTGTTAAAGGGAGAAATATGTAAAGCCCTGGAGGATATAGATGGTGATAAAAAGTTCTTGGTGGACCGATGGCAAAGAAAAGAGGTAAGCTATAACTAGATTCTCCCATCATTGTCTTCTGTTATAGCTTACTCAAATTACTGGTATCTTGGCTTCATCCTGTGTAACTATCAAGTGCATGTCAAAATCACCTTCTTCCTCTTGATAGATCATGAAAATTAAGTTGTACCAATTGTTTAAATGAGTGTTACACTGTTGTGAGATGAGTCTTGTCCTTTTGTTGTTGGTGTTTTTCCTATGTTTTAGTTATTGTTGTACCGATGTTGAGGTGGCTTTTGTCCCTTTTTGTATTTATTGTTGTAACAGTGTTGTAGTGAGTGTTGTCCATGTGTTGTTGGCATTTTTCTCCTGTGTTGTAATGGGTATTTCCCCTTTGTTTTAGAGAGTGTTCTATCTGTCTCTGTGTTGTAATGAGTGTTGTCCCTGTTTAAGTGATCGTTGTTCATACATATGCTCTTGTTAGTGTTGTCTGTGTTGTAGTAGGTGTTGTCTTTGTGTTGAATGTTGTTGCTGTGTTGTATGGCCTGTTGTCCTTGAGGTAATTTTTGTGTTTCAGCCTTATGTCATTGTGATTCAATGTGATATCTCTCTGTAGGGAGGAGGAGGAATATCCTGTGTCCTTCAGGATGGAAATGTGTTTGAGAAAGCTGGAGTGAATATTTCTGTTGTTCATGGCAATCTACCTCCAGGTGCTGTTCAGCAAATGAGAGCAGAAAGGTAAGACTCTCCACTAATCAAGTTCACAGGGAATGTTGAAACAAGGTCAGTCCATTCATTTGGTCATTTGTTTATACTGCTGGATAATAATGATCATAAAATAATAGATAAATTCATGCAGGAAGGATTGTTCTGCTGAAGTGTGTGACAACTGATTCAGTTTATTTGTAAATTGAGAAAGTATGCTACTTTGTAAGGTGGTGTGTAAGCAAATTAGTGCATTGATATTGTCTCTTTGTTCAGCTTAATGTCAAAGATATAGTGGTTAGAGTGGAATTTCATCAACAAGCTTCATTGAGCTTTTACATAGATACATAGATTTATTCTGACAAGGTACAGAAACTATGTACAGGATTAGCAATCCATTGATAGTCAGCTCTTTATACAATTTATACTAAAATAAAGTTCACAGCTTAATTCTTTCTTTGAAACAATACTTCTGTGGCTGGTTTTTCCAATGTTCATCTAGATTATATTCAAATTGTTTAACTGTTGTTGCATTTACAACATTTTAGTCATAGATGTATTGGTATGTGTTGAAATAGAACTTCAGGGATATAGTGGTAAGGGTGGAAACAAAACTCATTCAGCTTTATGTCAGGGATATTCTGTTTAGAATTGAATTTCATCATCAAACTTATATGTATCTTAGAATGACATAAGTGTTGCATTCTTAAATATATCATCATGATCCTCTATATTTATGTTGATTGCTTATCATACTTTTTATTTAATAAGATTTCGAAAATTCTGAGGCAAAAGATGTAGTTGCAGTTTTTGCTAAAGCTAGTCTTCAGGATTGATAGCCTGGAATCAGTGAACATTTCATTTTAATAAGACAATTGACCAATGTTTTAAGAACATGAGTATGATGTATTCAAAATTGTCAAACAACTTCTTTTAATTGTGAATTGCAAGAAGCCGCTGGGACAAACACATAAGAGTAGATATTGAAATAGTAACAACCTGGTACTTATTTGCAATGCTATTAAACAGTAGTAGGTATTGAACAGCAATAGATGTTGAAATAGTTTTGTTTTGGGAAATACTACAGAACAAGAGTAGATATAAAAAGGATTCTTTCTTAAAAATACTACTGAACAGAGTAGAAATAGGTGATATTGTTATCAAGTGTGCAATTATTGACATATGAATTTGGTATGCAGAAGGCAGTAAGATATATTCAGCTTGACATATGTTTCCTTTGTTTTTAGAGGGAAGATTCTTGAGGGCACCACTTTACCTTTCTTTGCAACTGGAATCAGTGCTGTAATACATCCGGTATGTTTAATGGTCACTAATGTTACACAATCTGAATTTTCTATTAGAAGACATCTTAACCAAACAATAAATAACAGTCGTCAACTTTCTTTCTCTCTACCTATTTACAGGATGCTTTTTAGCTCACCTGCCTGTAGGGCAAGTGAGCTTATGCTGTTGCACAGCATCTGTAGTCTGACGTCAACTTTTCCCTTTAAATAACTTCTTCTCAACAACCAAGAGGCCCAGGCTCTTGATATGGGCCTGCAGCATGCTGGAATGAAGGGCTATGAAGTCTGTTCTAAGGAATCACTTTGACCTACCTTCAAGATCACAGGGGTCAAATGTTTTGAAAACTTGAAACTTCCTCTTTTCAAAAGTCAATGGGCCCTGAGTCATGGAATTGGTGTTGTAGCATGCTTGGGAAAAATTGATTGAGCTGAAAAAGTCTTCTTTTCAATTTGGAGATTATGTGGTACCATTGCGCTCCTTGATTTTAGCCTCAATTCTCTCCATGGACAGTTTTAGTTAAAAACCATGGTGATTGTGGTCCATTTTCAGTCTTCATAGATACTGTTGTTAATATTTTAAATAATTTGGTAGAAAACATCTTGATGAGGCAGAGATAATGTTTGAAAAACTTTTTAGGTAATATATATCTTTGGGAGTGATTCAGGCCCTTCCGACCTTTTGTTGATGTAGAGCTATTTATGCTTAAGAAAATGAATGATAATGTTATGCTTAAGATCACTGCCCCATCTCTCAGATAAAAGAATCCTTGTGTGATTCATTTGTAAAAGTGCTTGATGAGAAAAAGATGCATATTAATTTTTTCCTATGCTTTGTTTTGTAGAAAAATCCTAATGTTCCAACAATCCATTTTAATTACCGTTACTTTGAGGTAACAGATAAGACAGGTAAAACTCAGTGGTGGTTTGGAGGTGGCACTGATCTTACACCATCATACCTGGATAAGAAGGTAAGTATTGACTTCAATTCCCATTTACCTGATTGACTCGTTATGCTTACAGATTACATCTTACCATGATTTAAGTAGTCAATCTCTACAGTATGTATGATATTAATCTGAAAGTTTAAAAGTGTGTAAACAGTCTATGAAATAAAAACTTACAGGCTAAGGCAAGGATCAGTTTTAGGGCCATACCTATTTCTGGTCTATGGAAAATTACTACTGGTTTATAGAAAAATTTAGGTTTCCAGCTATCAGTGTACATCTGTATGGCCTATTTAACTTGTTTTTTTTGGTCTGATGCTCAGTTTTTTACCTCAAACCATGGCACATCCAGAATATTCAGACCAATAGTTATACTCCTTGGTGTAGCCATATATGTACATTGCATCATATGATATGAAGAGAGATAATTTGAAAAAATTTGATAATTGAAAAAAAAAAAAAAGAAATGAGATCTGACAGCTGGCAACCCTGAAGATCATTTTCTTCTTCGTAATTTGTATACATTTTTAACTGAAGAATAAGACATTACTGTCTTTGTACAAGTAGGAGGACAAAACACAGGTTACTCCAATCTGAAAATTGGAGAGGATATGTTAATCAGTAATTAAACAGATGGTGTGTCCATTTTTTATCTACAGGATGTCATCCATTTTCACCAAACACTGAAGACAGCCTGCGATAAACACAGTAAAAACTACTATCCTAAGTTTAAAAAATGGTGTGACGATTACTTCACAATCAAACACAGGGGTAAGTTCATGTAGCATTATCTCTTATTGAATTATATACATAGCACACTTTGAATTAATTATATACAATAGGTTTTGGGGGGTGGCAAGTGCATTGAATTATGGTACAGCTTGTGGAATGGGGGGAGGGGTGGGCATTGAATCATACAATGGTTGGAAGTATGGGGAGGGATGGGCATTGAATCATACAATGGTTGGAAATGGGGGGAGGGATGGGCTTTGAATCATACAATGGTTGGAAGTAGGGGGAGGGATGGGCTTTGAATCATACAATGGTTGGAAGTAGGCGGAGGGATGGGCATTGAATCATACAATGGTTGGAAGTAGGGGGAGGGATGGGCATTGAATCATACAATGGTTGTAAGTGGGGGGAGGGATGGGCATTGAATCATACAATGGTTGAAAGTGGGGGGAGGGATGGGCATTGAATCATACAATGGTTGGAAATGGGGTTGGGGGTCCAATAGCTCAGTATGCAAATGTCCTCCCTTATGATGTTCAGTGAGGTATCCATTAAGCAACTGTAGTAACTATAAGGAGACACAATCTCAAAACATGGCTGGCTGTTGACAGAATGATAAACCAGCATGTATTTTAATAAACAGAACAAATACACTATAGGTGACTATCACATACATTTGTTATTACTTGTTACACCAGTAACATTTGAATGTCATTACCCATCATTTTCTCACAGATGAAACTTATGCCCTTTATTTAGCTTTTGTTTAATTGAAACTTTAATGAAAAAAGGTTCTTACAAACCAGTGCCCATTGTAACCTGAAGAACAAGTGTTGTTACATTTTGTAGGTGAGAAGAGAGGAGTCGGTGGCATTTTCTTTGATGACCTCGATAATGGAACACAAGCAGAGATTTTCAAGTTTGTAACAGTAAGTGGTGAAAGGTTTCATGGTAATTATAACCTGTTTTAACTTATTAATTAGCTCACCTGCATGAAGTGCAAATAAACTTATGCTGTGGCATGTCCTTCATCTATCAGTCTGTTTGTTGTCTGATGTCAACTTTTCCCTTTAAACAACTATTCCTATATAAACAAAAAGGCCAAATACTGATATTGGGGTTGCAGCATATTGGGATGAAAAGCTACCAAATTTGTTCCAAGGAATGACCTTGACACACTTTAAAAGTCAAAAGGGTACAAAATCTTTAAACAACATCTTCACAATGACCAAATGGCTATGGGCTCTAATGTTGTACCCATATCATGTAAGGATGAAGAGCTACTAAGTTCAGTAAAATAACTGATCTTTGTCCACTCTCAAGGTCTAAGAGACCCATTGTGTAAAATTTTCAAACAACTACTCAATAACCTAATGCCCACGGCACTGATTCGTAGCTTGGTGCACACAGGGATTAAAAGTTAATACGGTTGTTTAAATTCAAGAGAGTCTTAATAATGGGCCAATAGAATGCTTTGATGAAAGACTACCAACTCTGTTCAAGGTCACGGGTCAAATGTGTCAAGAAATTATTTTTAATAATTAATAGGCTTTGAGCTAAGGTATTGGCGCAGGTTTGGGGAATGCACTTTCAAATTTGCATAAATAGACTATATAAGGTGCAGAACATGTGAGCGATTTGCTCATTTTCCTTGTTTTAAATGGAAGTATGGTTACATTGCTAAATTTTTAAGTCTCAATCTAGATTTTAGCTTATGTATTTAACATATTGTATTGAAATTTAGAAATGATATGACAAATGATGGAAATAAGATAATGGCTGACTGACATTCTCCAGTATAACCAGTATTAAATTTGTACATGCCATATCTCCCAGTCAAAGACTAAATTATTGTCTAACTGCATGACATTTAGTTATATTTAGTGATTACGTAATCAGCCTGTTTAACTAGTGGTCATAAATATCTAACTCTATGCATTCACTTGTGTGCAGTTTGCCATTAGAAATTGGAATTTTTACTATTAATGAAAGGCAGTTTTTTTTCAAACTACACTGTCTGGAAAACAAGGTTTTGGGTTGTTTTGAGAGAATTTTGCTCATGATCGGTAACCATTATGCCAACATTTTTCAATGTCACTTCAGGCCACAAAAACAATCTAACAAATTCCAGCCAGTATGAGGCAGTAGAATAATAGATTGAGGATGGTAGATTTTACTGTTGTGCAGATAGTGAATTTCATGGTATTGATTTGTCTGTAATAGTGAAAAAATTGGTGAATACGTAAAGTTTAAAAAAGTGGTTAAGATAAAAAATATTTTAAAAAGTTTCCTGTCTTAGGTTTCCTTTCTTACAAAGCTTTATGTTAAGCAGAATGCTGATAAGAATCAGAAACATTTGTGATCATATTGTATGTATGAAAAAATTAGTTAAAACCCTTTATATCCTGAAATATAACTTACAATTGATAAACAGCTATTCTACATTACCACAAAGACAATATACACACTGAATGTCCCTACATTACGACAAAGACAATATACACACTGAATGTCCCTACAACACCACAAAGACAATATACACACTGAATGTCCCTACAACACCATAAAGACAATATACACACTGAATGTCCCTACAACACCACAAAGACAATATACACACTGAATGTCCCTACATTACCACAAAGACAATATACACACTGAATGTCCCTACGACACTACAAAGACAATATACACACTGAATGTCTCTACATTACCACAAAGACAATATACACACTGAATGCCACACAAAGACAATACACACATTAAATATCCCTACAACACCACAAAGACAATATACACACTGAATGTCCCTACATTACGACAAAGACAATATACACACTGAATGTCCCTACAACACCACAAAGACAATATACACACTGAATGTCCCTACATTACCACAAAGACAATATACACACTGAATGTCCCTACAACACCACAAAGACAATATACACACTGAATGTCCCTACATTACCACAAAGACAATATACACACTGAATGTCCCTACATTACCACAAAGACAATATACACACTGAATGCCACACAAAAGACAATATACACACTGAATGTCCCTACAACACCACAAAGACAATATACACACTGAATGTCCCTACAACACCACAAAGACAATATACACACTGAATGTCCCTACAACACCACAAAGACAATATACACACTGAATGTCCCTACAACACCACAAAGACAATATACACACTGAATGTCCCTACATTACCACAAAGACAATATACACACTGAATGTCCCTACAACACCACAAAGACAATATACACACTGAATGTTACCACAAAGTCCCTACAATATACACACTGAATGCCACATTCCACAAAGACAATATACACACTGAATGTCCCTACATTACCACAAAGACAATATACACACTGAATGTCCCTACATTACCACAAAGACAATATACACACTGAATGCCACACAAAGACAATATACACACTGAATGTCCCTACAACACCACAAAGACAATATACACACTGAATGTCCCTACAACACCACAAAGACAATATACACACTGAATGTCCCTACATTACCACAAAGACACACACAAACACAAAGACAATATACACACTGTGCCACTACAACACCACAAAGACAATATACACACTGAATGTCCCTACATTACCACAAAGACAATATACACACTGAATGTCCACACAAAGACAATACACACTTACACAAAGACAATATACACACTGAATGTCCCTACATTACCACAAAAAGACAATATACACACTGAATGTCCCTACAAGACAACACCACAAAGACAATATACACACTGAATGACACACAAAACACAATATACACACTGAATGACCCGACAACACCACAAACACAATATACACACTGAATGTCCCTACATTAACACTGACCACAAAGACAATATACACACTGAATGCCACACACCACAAAGACAATATACACACTGAATGTCCCTACATTACCAATATACAAAGACAATATACACACTGAATGTCCCTACAACACCACAAAGACAATATACACACTGAATGTCCCTACAACACCACAAAGACAATATACACACTGAATGCCACACAAAGACAATATACACACTGAATGTCCCTACAACACCACAAAGACAATATACACACTGAATGCCACACAAAGACAATATCCACACTGAATGTCCCTACAACACTACAAAGACAATATACACACTAAATGTCCCTACAACACCACAAAGACAATATACACACTGAATGTCCCTACATTACCACAAAGACAATATACACACTGAATGTCTCTACATTACCACAAAGACAATATACACACTGAATGTCTCTAAATTACCACAAAGACAATATACACACTGAATGTCCCTACAACACCACAAAGACAATATAAACACTGAATGTCTCTAGAACACCACCAAGACAATATAAACACTGAATGTCCCTACAACACCACAAAGACAATATACACCCTGAATGTCCCTACAACACCACAAAGACAATATAAACACTAAATATCTCTACATTACCACAAAGACAATATACACACTGAATGTCCCTACATTACCACAAAGACAATATACACACTGAATGTCCCTACAAAAACTCAAAGACAATATACACACTGAATGTCCCTACAACACCACAAAGACAATATACACACTGAATGTCCCTACAAAAACACAAAGATAATATACACACTAAATGTCCCTACAACACCACAAAGACAATATACACACTGAATGTCCCTACAAAAACACAAAGATAATATACACACTAAATGTCCCTACAACACCACAAAGACAATATACACACTGAATGTCCCTACATTACCACAAAGACAATATACACACTGAATGTCCATACGACACTACAAAGACAATACACACATTAAATATCCCTACAACACCACAAAGACAATATACACACTGAATGTCTCTACAACACCACAAAGACAATATACACACTGAATGCCACACAAAGACAATATACACACTGAATGTCCCTTCATTACCACAAAGACAATATACACACTGAATGCCCCTACGACACTACAAAGACAATACACACATTAAATATCCCTACAACACCACAAAGACAATATACACACTGAATGTCCTTACAACACCACAAAGGCAATGTACACACTGAATGTCTCTACAACACCACAAAGACAATATACACACTGAATGTCTCTACAACACCACAAAGACAATCACACTGAATGCCACACAAAGACAATATACACACTGAATGTCCCTACAACACCACAAAGACAATATACACACTAAATGTCCCTACAACACCACAAAGACAATATACACACTGAATGTCCCTACATTACCACAAAGACAATATACACACTGAATGCCACACAAAGACAATATACACACTGAATGTCCCTACAACACCACAAAGACAATATACACACTGAATGTCCCTACGACACTACAAAGACAATACACACATTAAATATCCCTACAACACCACAAAGACAATATACACACTGAATGTCCCTACATTACCACAAAGACAATATACACACTGAATGTCCCTACATTACCACAAAGACAATATACACACTGAATGTCCCTACGACACCACAAAGACAATACACACATTAAATATCCCTACAACACCACAAAGACAATATACACACTGAATGTCCCTACGACACTACAAAGACAATACACACATTAAATATCCCTACAACACCACAAAGACAATGTACACACTGAATGTCTCTACAACACCACAAAGACAATATTACACACTGAATGTCCCTACAAAAACTCAAAGACAATATACACACTGAATGTCCCTACAACACCACAAAGACAATATACACCCTGAATGTCCCTACAACACCACAAAGACAATATAAACACTAAATGTCTCTACATAACCACAAAGACAATATACACACTTAATGTCC